ATCCCAGATTGCTTTTGAGCTAGTGGAAGATGTTATGCTAGAAACATACTTCCTCCAAGAATCCCTTTGGCTTTGCCTTCTTATTTTTCTGGCATTTGCCTTTGCTTTTTTAAAAGCTATCTAATTTTCAGCACTGGGGTATCTTCTAAAAATCCCCCATGCTTTCTTTTGTGCTTTAAATGCTGCCTTGCAATTCTTGTTCCACCATGGTTTCAGATGCTTTGGGTATCTTGTTGATGTCTTTCCCATTGTTTTCTCAGCTGCCTGAATAATATACAAAGTGACAACTTCAACTGCATCATTGATATCAGCAGTATTGACCATTTCCTCAGTGATGTTAGCCAAAGAGGAAAATGCAGGCCAATCTGCCATTTCCAGTTTCCAGCGTGGTGGACGGGCTGTTTCACAGCTTTCTCTGCCTTCATATTTTAGAAATATTGGGAAGTTGTCACTAGAGAGTGGATTACATCCAACCTCCCATGTAAATGCTGAAAACAGGTTTGGACTTGCTAAGGATAGTTCAATGGCAGTGAACGTTCTTGTTGGGGCATGGAAGTATGTCACTTCTCCCGTATTAAATAAATATAGTTGCTGATTGCCTATAAATCTTTCAATGGCTCTGCCCCGACAATTAATGTCAGGACTGCCCCACATTGGATTGTGGCCATTGAAATCACCCAATAAAAAAAATGGAGTTGGCAGCTGTTCAACTAATGAGTCCAATTCATCCTCATTGACTCTGACATCTGGTGGCAAGTATATAGAACAAACTGTGACAGTCACTCCAACAGAAATTCTGACTGCCACAGCTTGCAAAACAGTGGTTATTTGTACCGGCAAGGATGGGATGTGATTTGAAACTACAATAGCCACATCGCCACTGGCACGGTTGTGTCTATCATCATCCTTGCAGTAGAGATTGAATCCTTTTAAAGTAATTCTCTCTCCAGGTTTCAGATGGGTTTCCTGGAGTGCCACGCAGAGAGATGAGGTAGATGATGTCAAGTGTTTAATGTCAGAGAAGTTGTTGCGAAAACCACGACAGTTCNGTTTTTTTGTTTGCTTTTCCGACATGCTATTATGGATTAAAAATTTGAAAGTTAAAAAAATTTGTAGGAAAACTTAATTTTGAATAAAAAAACTCTAATATTATCTTTTTGACAATAATATTGCACTCACGCCTTTCAAGAAACACAAGAATTGCTAAAATTGCTAGTTAACAGCTTACCAGTCTGACTGAGTGTATGACAGAAGCAAACACAAACAAGCACAGACGCGGTGCGTTCGTATTGCATGTTTGAACAAGTCGCTGACAAGTGGTTGGTTGGTTGGTTGGTAATGGTTTTTTGGCACAAGAGCCATATAGGCTAAGCTGCGCCATAACAAATGGTAAATAATTATAAACATCACAAATAAAAAACATATGACAAAAATAAATAAATAAACAACAGCAACAGCAACAAAAAACAAATATATACATATTAATAACAAACAAGAACGAACAAAAGGCTAAAAGATAAATAGATATATAAATAAATAAATAATTAAATTTCTTTACAGAAATTAATGACTTTTAAAAAGTCTAATATATCATAAATATTAGGCCTCAACCCCAGAATCTGTTTAAAACTTGCATTTCCAAAATGCTGTCTACGCCTGGTCTCAAAAACAGAGCAATCGAGCAGTATGTGTTTTACAGTAAGAGGACAGTTGCAATACTGGCATACTGGCTGCTCGTCACCCTTCAAAAGGTATTGATGAGTCAACCGAGTATGTCCAATTCTCAAACGAGTAATAATAACTTCAGATCTCCTGTTATAAAATTTCTTGTGTGTCCAATTTTCTATCGTAGGTTTGATCTCATGCAGTTTATTGTGGACTTGTGCGTTCCACATATTTTGCCATCTCTCTGCTAGTCGTTTTTTAATGACTNGTAGATGATGTCAAGTGTTTAATGTCAGAGAAGTTGTTGCGAAAACCACGACAGTTCCATTGGATTATTTTATAATCCATTATGTGTTTGAGGCAGCATTCTTTGTGAAGGTATCCCTCTTTAGTTTTACGGCTGATTTGCCTTTTGGAAATGAAGTTGGTGGTGTCACCTCCTTATTAGTCTCCTCGTCAGAGAAGTCAGAGAACTCACTCATAGACTGAGCCTCTGATCTCTTAAATTTGGAGATGGCTGCTTTTAATTTTTTTTTTTTTTGAGTGGGTTCTTAGCAGCCTTCTTAGAACCCACATTTCTTGTCATTACCCCTGTTTTTGGTAGGGGTGTTTTGGCTTTCTTGGTCTCCTTTTCTGATGATTGAATAGTTGGGAGAATTAAACATTTCGCATGGCGGGTACGAAATTCACTAGAAGAGACAGAAATATCTGTTTGAACCCCACATGTCTTTGTGGATTTCAAAACAGCAGCAAATGTTTTCTGTCTCAAAGGTGCAGTTGAAGTGACCATACGACGAGCCTCTGGGTAGGGTATGTTGTTGACTGTTTTAACCCGTTGTATCTCCTTTTCTCTTTGCCATGCAGGGCATTTTCGGGAGTAAGAAGGATGGGCATCTTTACAGTTAACACAGCATGGGGTACTGGTACACTCAGTACTCTCGTGACCTTCAGTCCCACACTGTGCACATACGCTCTTGCCACGGCAGGATGTCTGTGAATGTCCAAACCGCTGGCATTTGAAACAACGCAGCGGATTTGGAACGTACGAACGGACAGGGCAGCGCAGATAACCTGCTGTAATAAAAGATGGCAATGTCGGCTTGTTAAAGGTGAGAATTAAATGTTTGGTTGGTATTAATTTGCCATCCCGACGAATGGAGATACGTCGAACAGCAGTGATACCCTGGTCTGAAAGGTTCATCTGAATATCTGATTCATCTTCAGACATCAGATCAAACTCAGATATCACACCACGTGATGAGTTCAAACTTCCATGTGGTGTGACTGTGACTTCAATGTCTCCCAATTTCTTTGCAGCTAAAAGTTTTGCCGACTGTTGAGGTGAGGCAGTTTCTACAAGTAGATCTCCTGACCTCAATTTTTGCGTTTTTTTCAGGTGCCCGATCGTTGATTCAAATAACTTCTGAATCAAAAAAGGGGAACATTTTGACAAAGACTTTTCCCCAGTAGCATGCACTATTAAGTAGGATGGCTGACTGGCAGTGTTTTCATTCATGTTTTCTGGTTTGTCTGTATTTTTTGAAGATTTATGATCCATGATTAAATAATAATATTTCAGCTCCTAGTGACCCCACCCACCATGGGGTCCAACAAGGGGATGCCATCACATGGGAGACTTCCATAGACCATCACACCAGGGTTTCCCAGGAGCTATACCCTCACAATGCAGTCAAGAAGAGCACATCTTGTCTGACGTGTCTGCCCGGTCTGCATCGATCGGTTGACTCCAAGCCGAAGTCAAGAATGACTCAACAACCAGCCGATTGACTCAAACGGAGCCTGATTTGAGCCTCCCGTTTATCTGAAGCAGGGGCCAAAGCAGTGTATTGAGGACGTTATGTTGCCCCTCAACTACCAGGATCCCCCTTTCCGGCATACGAGACACCACGCACGGCAAACACGTGGGTGGGCATTTAGATCCCAGGGATGGTAAAGAAGAATTACTAAACCATCTCTGGGAGGTCCCCTCACCACAAACAGGAACCCACATCGAGGGGGATATAATTTATGAAGAGGATGAATCCAGCTCTTACATCGATTCATCAGAAAGTGATGAAATTGAATCAAAATGTATTTCAACTGATTCTATTAAACCAGATGGCAAAATCATGATCGATAATGATGATGGGCATGGTAGGATGATAAGTTATTGCTTTTATTTTTATAACACAACGTCTTTCAATTTCTTTTATAATTTAACAGTAAGAAAAGTCTTAAAATCAGCTGTATAAAAATGTTAACATAAAATTAGATAATGAATGTATCTTGCATTGTTAATGAAATTAAAGTGTAAGAATACTTTAGAATTTATTTTACTTAAGCAGAAGTTTCTTTGTTGAATGAAAAATATTCTAATTTTTGTTGTATCTGTTTAATTAAAATTCAAATTTTGTCACTCATTGTATCACCCCCTTCTTAAATTGCTGATTAGTATTCGAAATCTTGTGTTCACTTTGTACGGATAATGTAACCGCATGTTTGAGAAGCGTGATGATTTTTGTATAATTTATACTTAATGGCTGCATTATATTTTTTACAAAGAGAAAAGTGCAACACACATGCTAAGCATACAATATTGTGTTTTTCAGAAATATTTTGGAGCGTAGAAAAAACCAGCACTCAAAATTTGAACAATTTTATTAAATCAGAAGAAATCGTAGGTGAAAAAGAGAATATTTTGACAGAAAAAGGATCCACTGTAAAATCTAAAAAAAAGGTTAGAAAATATTTTCCTGTTTGTCTAGGTTAAATTAAACACGTGTTTTCATTTCATGTTATACTTTCATTTTCGACCACATTTTCATTTTTTTATATGTTATTCTGAATTAATTGTTTTGAATTAAGTCATTAAAATGATTTAATTAAACTTTTTGTAACGGTTTAATTTTCATTAAATTATAACATTTCTTTCTCGTAATATTTAGTGACATTAGCTTGTTTTTTACTATTCATTTTTCTTCGTGTATATGTTATTCATTAAGATAAAATTTAAAATTATTTTACTGATTTCGAACTTTTTATTTTTCTTAAAATTTATGCAAATTTCATAATATATAGATCTAAAATTTTTGAAATAAATATCAATATTTTTATTTATGAAATTACTTTTCCCTTCTTTCAGCAACAGACAAAATGCGGGAATCTATTCAGTTAGTACGTCCGCAGAGTTTGGAGATTTTTATCATGTCGAAAGTGAAAAGAATAATATTATTGGCAATAGAAGCAAATAATTTCGATAAAATAGTTTATTTCAGATTTATTTATTTTTTATTCTGATTTAGAANTCCAGTAAATATACACCTGCGGTTCAAAAGTAGGTTTATGTTATTATGGAAAAACATACAGCGAGAAAATAGGAAGAAACAACATTTATTATTATGTACAAATTAAATCACAAATAAGTAATATGAACTAATAAAAGATTATAAGAGTAATAATAACGAACACCAAACATTTGTATTTTTCATATTCCAAACTGTATACCTACTAGTGCACACCCTCCATATTATCGTCAGTAAAGATTTAATGTTTTCATAATTACTCCACGATAATGTAGAATAAAGGACAATTTGAGCAATATTTTTCGTATTGCCAATTACAATCACTTTTTGCAGCTGCCTGTCATTGCTTTATTAAATTTGTTCAGCAATTACTGAAAATGTAATTGTTGAATATTATGAATCAAATTCAATATTTAATTTAATAAATATATTGAAATATTTTTTCAGAATTCAGATGATGAATCCGGCTCTCACATCGATTCATCAGAAAGTGATGAAATTGAATCAAAATGTATTTCAACCGATTCTATTAAACCAGATGGCAAAATCATGATCGATAATGATGATGGGCATGGTAGGATAAGTTATTGCTTTTATTTTTATAACACAACGTATTTCAATTTCTTTTATAATTTAACAGTAAGAAAAGTCTTAAAATCAGCTGTATAAAAATGTTAACATAAAATTAGATAATGAATGTATCTTGCATTGTTAATAGAATTAGAATGTAAGAATACTTTAGAATTTATTTTACTTAAGCAGAAGTTTCTTTGTTGAATGAAAAATATTCTAATTTTTGTTGTATCTGTTTAATTAAAATTCAAATTTTGTCACTCATTGTATCACCCCCTTCTTAAATTGCTGATTAGTATTCGAAATCTTGTGTTCACTTTGTACGGATAATGTAACCGCATGTTTGAGAAGCGTGATGATTTTTGTATAATTTATACTTAATGGCTGCATTATATTTTTTACAAAGAGAAAAGTGCAACACACATGCTAAGCATACAATATTGTGTTTTTCAGAAATATTTTGGAGCGTAGAAAAAACCAGCACTCAAAATTTGAACAATTTTATTAAATCAGAAGAAATTGTAGGTGAAAATGAGAATATTTTGACAGAAAAAGGATCCACTGTAAAATCTAAAAAAAAGGTTAGAAAATATTTTCCTGTTTGTCTAGGTTAAATTAAACACGTGTTTTCATTTCATGTTATACTTTCATTTTCGACCACATTTTCATTTTTTTATATGTTATTCTGAATTAATTGTTTTGAATTAAGTCATTAAAATGATTTAATTAAACTTTTTGTAACGGTTTAATTTTCATTAAATTATAACATTTCTTTCTCGTAATATTTAGTGACATTCGCTTGTTTTTTTACTATTCATTTTTCTTCATGTATATTTTATTCATTAAGATAAAATTTAAAATTATTTTACTGATTTCGAACTTTTTATTTTTCTTAAAATTTATGCAAATTTCATAATATATAGATCTAAAATTTTTGAAATAAATATCAATATTTTTATTTATGAAATTACTTTTCCCTTCTTTCAGCAACAGACAAAATGCGGGAATCTATTCAGTTAGTACGTCCGCAGAGTTTGGAGATTTTTATCATGTCGAAAGTGAAAAGAATAATATTATTGGCAATAGAAGCAAATAATTTCGATAAAATAGTTTATTTCAGATTTATTTATTTTTTATTCTGATTTAGAAAAAGTTTTTCTTTAATTTATTTGTTGTTTGTTTGCATTAAGAAAAGAAAAATGGTTTTTCTTTGGATGGATTTATACAAATCAAGTCGTGCATGTGCAACTTGATTTGTATAAATCCATTCGAACTCAAACTTTAAACGACATGTTGACTGAACGAATTTTTAACGGATATCAAACATCTATCTAGAAAATGTTTGGAACTTGAAGCAGAGCCCTGATGGGGTTCAAAAACGTTTGTTTATCAATCTTTTTACGTGATCACACCGTAAATGGTTCTGGTACATAATTTTTCAATACGAAAAAGTTGAAGAATATAATTAAGCCACAAGAAATCATTAATAATAATGAGTGTATTTTGCCAGATGAAGAATTCTCATTAAAATCTGAAAAGAAGGTTAGAAAATATTTTCCTGTTTAACTTTCGTCTAGGTTAAATTATACACGTGTTTTCATCTCATGTGAAACTCTCATTCACGACGACATTTACATTTTTTTCCTCTATCTTATTCTGAATTAATTGATAGTTTTAAGCGGTTAATGTTTGAATGGTTTGATGAACAACCCTATTCGATCTGCGTACAGAAATTCCACACATGCATGCAAAAACAGGATGAGTGAGTTCAAAAATTTGCCATTCAGTTACAAACTCTAGCCAGTGACACAGTGATTGCGCAGGCTGGAGAAAACGAGCAGGAAACTGAGATTTTCAAGCAGTGCAAGCAAAAAAGAGCTAGATGAAAAGCTTCAGATTCAGTTTTTGCATGGTCTCAACGACCGTATAAAGAACGGAACGGCTTGACCCATGACCCTCGGACATTTTTGGATGCATTAGAAATCACAACGCGAGAAGAAACAATCAAACAATTAGTGGGAAAAATGCAAAATTGAGTTGCGAGTGTGGATACAACAACCGAAGCAGCTTTAGCACACAAGGAGATAGAAAATTGGCAGTCCGAGTCTGAGCTAGAAGCAAAAATAAACCAATTTAGGCAATTAGCTAATTTAGAAAAGAAATTCAAGCCTTGGTCAACTCTGGGATCAAGACCAAAAGATAGGTCCCGAGAGAGGAAAATGCGCAAGACAGACAGTTTCCGCTGTCTAGAAATAAGGCAAACGAGGCATACACACCATCTCAAAATAATTTTCAGGTCCACATTATCCAGTTCCCTCAAATTACCCTTTGACCCCATCTTTTAATAACAATTGGCCAACATTTGTGAGGCAGCCAAAACAAACCACTTATGGGCAGGGCTAAATACTATCCTTATGATTCCAGAAACTGGAGGGCACCTATGCCAGTTGGTTTGCACCCACATATTATGCACAGGCAAGGAAGCCTAAATGGTGGAGACTCACATTTTCCCCATCCTTCACATCCCGATACTCGTGGGAGGATGTGGCTCTTTTTTATGCTGCGTATTATGGACAGGGGTGGCCAGGTGAACAGTTCAGTAATAAGCACTCATCACCTAATGTAACAGTGACTGAGTATCCAGCATTGCCCACTCCAGAAAGCTCGTCCGGAAGGGCATTAGAAAATTTGCGGGAACAAGCGAAAAATGCCAATCAGGATCGAAAATCAAGACCAAATGGAAAGAGGAAATGGATTTGTGTGTTTCACATAATTTGCCATCTCTCTGCTAGTCGTCTTTTAACGACTAGCTTCAAATCACCTCCTTCAATATGCATTGTATGCTATGAAGGACTTGCTGACTTAGCAGCTGTGTCAGCTTCATTTCCTCTTATACCCACGTGGCCTGTGACCCAACAAAACTTTACAGAGGACTTACACGTAGTAAGATGACAAATTAGTTTCCAAATTTTAATCACTATTGAATGAGGACTAGGTTCACACAAGGTCAAAGCCTGAAGTGCCCTAACTGAGTCACTGTAAATCATGCAGCAACAATGACCTTTTCTGATTACATATTTTAAGGCTAGATGAATAGCTTGCAGCTCTGCAGTAAAGATGGATGCATTTGGTGCAATTTGTTCTGCCACGATATCATCCTGACAAACGAAGGCTGAGCCAACATAATCATCTGATTTACAACCATCACTATAAATAGGAATTAAGTTCTTGTCTTGGTGTTGAATTTCTGCAAAGTGCTGTATGTAGACATAGTCTGGAGTGGATTTCTTAGGAAACTGCTTTAAACTAAAGTCAACATTTATCACAGGAGTTGACCAAGGTGGTATACTATCAACCTCAACCTGTGAGACGTTGCTTGTGTCCAAGTCAATCGTGCTGCTTACATTCTCCATTCTTATGACGAATTAGCAACACTACTTGGGCAAGCTTCAAATAACCTTTTCAGCTGAGTACCTCATACTGTACAATCAACTGAAGGTTTAGTATAAGATTTCTGTTTTATATAATAAAAAAGAGACAACTGTTCTCTCCTAAGAGACAGTGGAGTCTCATAAGCATCCACGTACAAACTTTGAACAGAAGTTCGAAAAGCACCACTGCACAAATGTAATGCTTGATGGCAAATTGGATCCAGCATCCGAAGAGTAGATTCTCACGCAGAGCCATAAACAATGCATCCATAATTCAGCTTTGAGTGGACAAGGGCTCTATAAATCCTGAGCATAGAACATTTGTCTGTTCCCCAGGATGAGCAGCACAGTACCTTTACAAGGTTCAAAAATTTTAAACATCTACTCTTCAAACTGTGCAAGTGTGGTAAGAATGTCAGTTTATGGTCAAATAAAACTCCCAAAAACTTAGCCTCATTCACAATTGAAATTTTAGCCGCACTTAAATAAATTTCATGATCCAATTGCAGTTCACACCTTTGGCAAAAGTGGATGCACAAGGTCTTCGTTGTGTTAAATGTAAAGGCATTGGGACTTTACATTTAATGCAACGAAGACCTTGTATATGCGATTTAGGGAGGTTTGCAGTTGTCTCTCAATGAAACTCACTTTACTAGACTGGTAGGAGATCTGAAAGTCATCAACATACAATGAGTGTTTCACACTGGGAGAGAAACAGTTAGCTATGCTGTTGATTTTGATTAGGAACAGAGTCACACTCAAAATAGAACCTTGAGGAACACCTTCTTGCATGAAAGGCCTAGATAAAGTGTTGCCCATCCTGACATGGAATTTTCGATTCTGTAGGAAGTTTTTTATAAAAACTGGAAAGTTACCCCGTAATCCGAATTGGTACAGATCACAGAGTATCCCATATCACCAACATCCATCATAGGCCTTCTTTATGTCAAAATTCACATACACTAAGTGCTGTCGTCTAACAAACGCTTTGCATATAGATGTTTCAAGGTTAACCAAATTATCCATGGTACTTCTGTTCCTACGAAATCCACTCTGATGTGGTGAAAAGTAGTTCTTTTCCTCTAGGAGAAACATCAAACGTCTGTTTACCATCCTCTCAAAAAGTTTACACAGGCAACTTGTCAGAGAGATATTGCTGTAATTAGAGGGATATTGCTGGATGAAACAGAAAATGTTTCACCCAATAAATCAGTAATAACCTGTATATCACTGATTACTGTGCCATTATTTTCCAGCAGGGACAGAGAATGAGAAGCATATGTCCCATTAATTTTATGAATTTTATTATGAATCATCATAAATTTATGGAATTTATCCCAATCTGCTTTTGAGCTAGTGGAAGATGTTATGCTAGAGACATACTTCCTCCAAGAATCCCTTTGGTTTGCCTCCTTATTCTTCTGGCATTTGCCTTTACTTTTTGAAAAGCAACCAAATTTTTAGCAGTGGGGTATCTTCTGAAAATCTCCCATGCTTTCTTTTGTTTTTTAAATGCTGCCTCACAATTCTGGTCCCACCAAGGTTTCAGATGCTTTGGGTGTCTGGTTGATGTTTTCCCCATTGTTTTTTCAGCTGCCTGTATGATATTGGAAGTGACAACTTCAACTGCATCATTGATATCAGCAATATTCACTGTATCCTCAGTGATGTTGGCTATAGAGGAAAAAACAGGCCAATCGGCTGTTTCCAGTTTCCAGCATGGTGGACGGGTTGTTTCACAGCTTTCTCTGCCGTGATATTTTAGAAATATTGGGAAGTGGTCACTAGAGAGTGGATTACATCCAACCTCCCATGAAAATGCTGAAAACAGGTTTGGAGTTGCTAAAGATAGATCAATGGCAGTGAATGTTCTTGTCAGGGCATGAAAATACGTCACTTCTCCAGTATTAAATAAATACAGTTGTGATTACCTATAAATCTCTCAATGGCTCTGCCTCAACAGTTGATGTCGGGACTGCTCCACATAGGATTGTGGCCATTGAAATCATCCAGTAAAAGAAATGGAGTTGGCAGCTGTTCAACTAATGCATCCAATTCATCCTCATTGACTCTGACATCTGGTGGCAAGTACAGAGAACAAACTGTGACAGTTATGCCAATTGAAATTCTGACTGCCACAGCTTGCAGCTCTGTTGTTATTTGTACCAGTAAGGATGGGATGCGATTGAAAACCAGTATAGCCACACCACCACTAGCACAGTTGTGACTATCATCATCCTTGCGTAAAGTCCAAATCCTTTTAAAGTAATTTTCTCTCCAAATTTCAGATGAGTCTCCTGGAGTGCCACGCAGAGAATGAGGTAGATGATGTCAAGTGTTTAATGTCAGAGAAGTTGTTGCGGAAACCACAACAGTTCCGTTGGATTATTTTATAATCAATTATGTGTTTGAGGCAGCATTCTTCACGACAGTGTCCCTCTTGAATTTCACTGAGGATTTTCCTTTTGGGGATGAGGTTGGTTGGGTCACCTCTGAATTATTTTCTTCATCAGAGAGATCAGAAAACTCACTCATGGCGTGAGTCTCTGATCTCTTTGATTTAGAGAGGACTGCTTTCAATATTTGTTTGTTGAGTGGGTTATTATTAGCTTTTTTAGAATCCACATTTCTAGTTATTACTCCTGTTTTTGATAGGAGTGATTTTGTCTTTATGTTCGCCTTTTCTTCTGTCTCTTTAGATTGAATTAGTAAACATTTAGCATGGCAAGTGAGAGATTCCTTTGGAGAAACAGAAATATCTGTCTGAACTCCACACGTTTTTGTAAATTTTAAAACTGCAGCAAATGTCTTCTGTTTCAACAGTAAACTCGAAGTGACCATGTGATGAGCCTCCAGGTAGGTAGATTGTTAACTGTTTTTACGCATTGGATTTCTTTCTCTCTCTCTGCCATGCAGGGCATTTTTTGAGTAAGCAGGATGAGCATCTTTGCAATTCACACAGCATGGAGTATTGGTACACTCAGTACTCTGGTGGTCTTCAATTCCACACTGTGCACATAAGTTTTTGCCTCGACAGGATGTTTTAGAATGTCCAAACCGCTGGCATTTGAAACAGCACAGTGGATTTGAAATATATGGGAGAACCGGACAGTGCAAATATCCTTCTGTAAGAAAAGATGGTAATGTCAGTTTATTAAATATCACGATTAGATGTTCTGTAGGAATTATCTTGCCATTTCAACAAATGGAGATGCGTCAAACAGCAGTAACTCCTTGATCTGAAAGGCTGATCTGAATATCTGATTCATCTTCAGACATCAAATCGATTTCAGATATCACACCATGTGAAGAGTTCAAACTTGTGTGTGGTATGATGGTGACTTGTACGTCTCCTAGAGACTTCGTTTTCAAAAGCTTTTCTGACTGTTGAGGGGAGGCTGCTTCTATGAGTAGATCTCCTGACCTGAATTTTTGGATTTTTTTAAGGTGCTCGATGTTCAATTCAAAGAGTTTCTGAATAAGAAAAAGAGAACGTTTAGAAAGAGGTGTTTCTCCTGTAGCATGAACGATGAGGTAAGATGGTTGGTTGGAGGAACTGACCTCCTTTGGTGGCAATGCATTCGTACATGTTTGTTTTGATTTTAATGAATCCATATTTAGAGATGAGTATTCAGCTCCTTGCAACCTCACCCACCATGGGGCACAAGGGGATGCCATCATATGGGAGACTCCCATAGACTGTCACACCAGGGTTTTCCAGGAGCTATACCCTCACAAAGCAGTCAAAAAGAGCACATCTTCTCTGATGTGTCTGCCTGGTCTGCATTGATCAATTGACTCCAGGCCAAGGTCAAGAATGACTCAACAACCAGTCGATTGACTCAAACGAAGCCTGATTTGAGCCTCCCATTTATCCAAAGCAGGGGCCAAAGCAGTGTGTTGGGGACGTTATGTTGCCCCTCAACTGCCAGAATACCCCTTTCTGGCATATTACTAGAATAACTAAACCATCTCTGAAAGGTCCCTCACCACAGACAGGAACCCACATCAACGGGTATAAAAAAAATGAACACCAAACATTTGTATTTCTCAGATTCTTAACTGAATACCTACTTTTGATTGACTAATTTAACTAAACTTGATTAACGATAATACAGGGGTATTATCGTCAATCAAGTTTTAATGTTTTCATTATTACTCTGCGATAATGTACAATAAACGACAATTTGAGCGATATTTTTCCTATTGTCAATTACAACTACTTTTTGCAGCTGCATGTCATCGCATTATTAAAGTTGCTCGTCAATTAAAAAAACTATAACTGTTGAATATTATGAATCAAATTTAATATTTAATATATATTGAAAGTTTTTCAGTATCTTGCGAAAAATTCAGATCAAAAAGTTCCTGTAACTCAATCAAAGATGACAGGTTTTTCGAATGAAGACTTTCAAGATCGATATTTATTCAGAAAATTTGTAAAATTAGAGAAGTTTTCATTAGTTAGAAATGTAATATGCTAGAAGATGAACTGAAACCTGTAAACAATTCATCTGAAAGTGATGATGTTGAATTGGAGAGTACTTTAAGCAACTGTGGACAATTTGATATAGAAATCTATAATGATGATCAACATGGTAAAATGATATGTTATTGCTTTTATTTTTATAACACAACATCTTTCAATTTGTTTTATAATTAAACAGTTATAAGTTTTAAAATCGTCTGTATAAAAATTTTGACATAAAATTAGATAATTAATGTTTCTTGCATTGTTAATGAAATTAAAATGGAAGAATACTTAAAATTTATTTTACTAATGCAGAAGTTTCTTTTTTGAATGAAAAATATTTTAATTTTTGTTTCATCTCTAATTAAAATTTGAATTTTGTCACTCATTGCATTACTCTGTGCACTTTGTCATTCTTGAATTGCTGATTAGTATTCAAAATCATTGATATCTTGCATTCACTTTGGACAGATAATGTAACTGCATGTTCGAGAAGCGTGATTGTGCTTATATAATTTATACTTAATTAATGGTTGCATTATAGTTTTTACAAAGAGAAAAATGCAACACACACTATAAACGTACCATATTATATTTTTCATAAATATTTACAAACAAAGAAAAAAACAACATGCAAAAGTTGAAGAATTTAATTAAGTCAGAAGAAATCATGGATAAAAATTAGAGTATTTTGCCAGAAGAATGATTCACACTAAAATCTAAAAAAGAGGTTAGAAAATATATTTCCTGTTTAACTTTTGTCTAGGTTAAATTAAACACGTTTTTTCATCTCATGTTAACTGTCTTTCATGACCACATTTCCATTTTTTTGTCTATCCTATCCCAAATTAATTGTTTGATGTCCTTTTTTCAAAAACTATTGACAAACACATTGCACTAATTGGTAAGGTTTTAAGCATCTTGGATGGTACTAACTTGAAATTACACCCCAGTAAAAGTAAATTCATATTGGAAGAAGTCTGTTACTGAGGACACATAATTAGGAGAGACGGCATATTGGAAGAAGTATGTTACTGAGGACACATAATTAGGAGAGATGGCATCCTCCGTGACCAAAAAAATGTAAGTGCCATACTTAACGTCAGCCCACCTGTAAATGTAAAGGAAATAAGGAGTTTCCTGGGAATGGTTGGTTTTTTCGTGTCTTCACACAAAATTTTGCTGAGATCCCAACCCCCATACCAATTTAACAAAGAAAGGTATAAAGTTCAAACTTCTATGCATGATGTAACAATAGCTTTCAAAAACTCAAACTTCTATTAACTAAATCCCCTGTACCTATTCATCCTGATTTTTCTGAACCCTTCCATATATATACTAATGCTTCGGAGTTATGTGCAGGCGCAGTTTTGGGACAGATGAGAGAAGAAAAAATTTTTCCCGATCAGTTATTTCAGTAAGAAGTTTCATGGGGCATAGCTCAGATATTCGACCATTGAAAAAAGTGCCTGCCCATTATACTAGCCCTATGGCATTTTAAACCAATGATCTTGGTCCAGGACGTAAATATTTATTCCGATCACAAGCCATTAACATATATCAAAACAATGCAAAATCACAATAAGAGACTAATGCATTGATCAATCGAACTGTCTGATTATAATTATGTGGTGGCAGCCGCCATTTTCGACAGCCTACACAAAGCCTACAATAACCTCCTCGAAGAAAAAGATTTACTCTTCAAAAAGCTTGCCGAATCTCCAGGGACTTTGGCACCCGCGTGCCACCACACACCCCAAGTACAGTCCTCTGCAGACGTAATTAACTCCTTGGGACTTTACCAATTTTTGATATTGATGTAATTAAACGTAAAAAATACTTAAAACTGAAAAAAAACAAAAGAAATGCGTTAATTTTGAAGAAAAAGCTTCAAATTTTATTTTCCTTTGTAAGCCTTTCTGTGAAATCTGGCACTGATGAGTCATTATTTACACAGCTGGATGACCTTGAACACAGATGGAGTTGGATTTCCCGGGTCATTCTCATAAAAGTCTCAGGAGGCAATGGGTTAATAGTAGGGTAAATACTAGCTGGCTGTATATTTTTAAATATTTTTAAAAAATTAAAATTTTTATTGCGATTTCCGACTCCCCCGACTTAATTAAACTTATATATAATAAAATCTATTAATTAAAGAAATTAAAAAACTATTGGAGGTCGTTTTTGATATCAGAAAGTAGCTTTAAATAACTTTACCGAAGTAAAATCCGTGCACTACAACTTTAGAACTATGAATGAAATTTGATATCAAAATCCCATTTAAAAACAATTAAGCGTTAATCGCACATCATTAAAGGTTGATTAAAATCGCGATAAAATTTCTTTGTGCGGGTAAAAATTTTTGAAAAAATTTGGAGACCTAAAAAACATTCCAAAAATTTAAAAAAATTCAAAAATGGCCTTAAGGACCGAGTTTTTCGTAACGCTATGTAACTTTCCCGAGATATCTCGAGCTTGAGGCTTAAGGTGCCTCTACGCACGGCCAACGATATAAGATACCCCAAAGAAAACAATAAAGCCGACGAAGTAATGGATAAATTGGAGAAAAACGTAAACCCATCTAATATCGGGGTCGGAGTCGAAACTATAAAGAAAATTAAAAACGGATTCACCATCAGCTGCAGCAATGCCGACGGAGCTTCTGGACCATCTCGAGAACTGAAGAAAAATGTAAAGAAGCGGAAATAAAAACACGCCCAGTAACCGTTCAATTACTGTGCTTTTTTTTTTAAGCCGCATTCATCTGAAAAGTGCGCGTGCATGTCAGAGCTGCACGAACGTTTTCCTTCTCCTCCTCGTGGATCCGCCGTAGACGACGTCGTCGTAGTCTGCCACCATGGTAAACAGAAACAGAAAGAGAGGAAAAATGAAAAAGAAAACAAAACTCCCAACAACACACCCCCAACGTGCGCCCATCAAGAAGCAGAAATACAAACAAATTAAAAATGAGCAATGCTCACCGACGTCGGTATAACGTCATCCTCCTCTGGAGCAGGACGCTGACGGCCTGGGTGATGCTGAGCAGGCGGTGGTCCGTCGCCTGCCTGCCAATTGTGGGCGCCGCTGCTGCTGTGGAATCGTTCTCCTCGTCCGAGCTGCAAAAAGGAATGAAACATCAGACGTCTGACATTCAGAGAAACGAACAAATCCGAAATTCCCGTCCGAATTGCCCGAAAAGCGCCTCGAAAGCCTCCATTTCTCGGGAGCTAGCAAGACAACGCGCCATTCTCTGCAATGGGTAATATTATGATCAATGGTGATGAAAATCTTAAAAAAAATGAGTTGACCGTTTAAATATAAAATTATAGAATTCATTACTGACAATACTAGTTGTTAAATCTGAAACAAAACAATTTGTTAGTTGTTCAACACATTACTGACAGAGAAGGGAGTTTTTGAAAACAAAATATTAAAAAAAATTAGCAGTTTTTTATTGTACTTCACAATGGAGGATCAGCAGTGTCTATTACTTTCGCGGGAGACAATAAACAACACTTTACTACCCTGAATTTGAAAAATAATACGATCCTGAAATTTAACAAATCTGATGTCAATAAGACAAAGTTGAAATTATTTATATCCAGTTGATATTTGATAAGTTTAATTTTTGCATTTACAGATCAAATTTCAGAAAATATAAATAAAAATCTGTTTTTACTAGTTATGTGCTGTATCGTTAAATGTATATCCGCAGATACAGATACCGTATCTGTATCTGAAAGTTGAGATCCGTATCTGAGATACGGATCTCAACTTTCATACTCAGTCGGCATACTACTCAGATCACCTAGTCTCAACCAACAACACTCCAAATCAGATAAAGATAATTGCAGAAGAAATCCACAGACATGGACTCGACAGGTACAATAATTACAGACTGATGCATCCGGCAACTGACCCCCTAAGGTTGATCTTTCCCCAGATCTGAAAATAAAAACAGGAATCAACATCTTTACCAATGGGTCCAAAAGCCCACAGGGAGTGGGGGCAGCCATGGTGATCTTAGACAACTGTAACAGAATAGTCTACCAGGCCTACTTCAAATTGGATTCATTTTGTACAATAAATCAGGCTGAAAGCTTAGCTATTCTTAAAGCCCTGCAACATGTCCACAATAATATAA